GGCATGGTGATTTATATTTTGAATTTATGTGAAATTATCTTATCTAACCATAAACCTTTGATTCAGTTTGGACATGTTTTCGACTCTGAGACTCAGTGAATATGTACATATTTGATATAAAAATAAATTTGCGATTTTTTAAGCGTTCTTTTTGTGTTGAAGGAAAGTAAGGCATTATTGAATTGATATGTTCCAAAGTAATGGAGTTGGCTTTGTTAAATTTAATAGTAATATTGAGAACGGTGTTTATCTATTATGTAATTTAAGCGGTTCAAAAGATAAGCTGCACGTTTTATTTTTAGCAGTCAACAAAGTAAAAAGCATGTATTTTTTGTACTTTTATAAGCTATGTATGTTTATTTATTTTAGCACCATCCAAACGTTCACATTTCAGAGATTTTCCATTGTATTTTTCTCTATTTAAGTAATGATCGGATAGGAAAGTAAATAAAGAATTGGTTATGTTTTTAGTTAACCCACTTTTCTGCTAGTTATACAAGATTGAGTGAGTGCACAGAGAGCAAATATTTATAGACGATGGTTCTAAAAACCTGATAATAATTAAGCAACGTTAAAAATTAACTTAACTGTTGTACTAAAATGAAATTCTTTGCATTCTTTTTTTACATTTTACATAAGATGAAAATATTTTCTACAGTGAGGTTCGAAAATGTTAACAAAGCTATGCTAAGTAGTCTGGGCATATTGAACACGGGAATGAGAAAGGCTACGAGATCCAACTTTCCTTGGGTCAACGGATATTTCGAAGGGATATCTGATGACATTCCAGTTTTGTATGTTTTATTGTCAAGGCATTTGCCCCACGTGTGAGCCATCATGCCCAGGCCTGGAGGAGAAACTTTGATTTTTCTAAATAAAACTGCCATCAACTGACACATCAGCCTGTATGGATCCGACTCTTCTGAATCCTTTTCCTTTTCTCATTCTCGTCAATGGTCATGTCCAAAGTTTTGATCTAGAATTGATCGCATAGTGCGAAATGACGTTTCTATATTGCTTGTTGGTTCATATACATAAGAGTAGACCTATGTCTACTCCTTTAATCTATAGTTTAAGGTAAACATTGCTATTATTTCATATAGGTTTAGAGAATAAGTATTATGTAGACTTTGGTAGTAGTAAAAATATATGAAACGGTCAACAAATATTTCCTAGTTCCAAAATCAATAAAACAAACAAAGTTAGGTATGAATCTATAAAATATTACATCTAGTTGGACGAGAAAAAACTGTAAAAAACATCTGTTTTTTGAGAATAAGACATTAAAATGACATATACTTAAGGTCCAAGTCAAATTCTTGAGGTATTACACAACATTTTGGCATAAATTAGTGAATATAACAGTTGGAATAATTTTCTACTACAACTAAATGAATAAAAACACACAGCAAAATAGTTCAATTTAGTTTTTTCTGGTTGAACTTTATTGCTTTCTAACTTTCAACCAAAACATACTGATTTATTAATTTTACAACTAACCATACGGCGATATGTGATTTATATTGTAAAGATTGAATATTTTGATAAATCGCAAACAATTCCAGAATTATCGATTCCAAGAATTACATACTTATATGGAAGAATGCATGTCTCAAGTATAGAATGTTTTTTTACACACTATCAGCTCCGTGAGAATACTTTAACTCGCTCAATATTGATGGAGCCTTTGTTTCAACACAATAAAGAGAGTTCAAAACAATGTTTTGTAAGCGTGACGACTGTTTTATCCAATCTTTTGCAAGTCCTTTGAGTGAAGACAGAGTTACACTTTGAATGTTTCCAAGCTCACGTTGCTAGATCGGTTATTTACACTTTTGTAGGCTAAATCGTATCTTAAAGAAGTATTGTAGAATTATCAACATGGATTGTGTAATTATTTTGATATATGAAAAGATTTTTGTTTAAATATAGTGTGGGAGGGAATATAGTTAAATATTAGGCCTATAGTGAAGAACACGCTCGATACATAATTTATTTATAAAAATAATCTGATTACGAATTGGATTCAAGCAGCAATCTTTCAAACTATACTCTACTTCTATTAAAAATCAATTCATTAAATGAAATAATTGTACCACTAATTGTTAAGAATTAAAGTTAAAAATGTGTATTACTTTCATTATTCAATTATGTGTCTTATTTGAAGCATTTCAATTTTAATTTACTACATCAAGGATCGTTTGACGCATAAGGTAACTTAAACCATTTTCTATTGCAATTTTCGATCCAGAGGCTAACCCATCTTGAAATTGAATTTTTGTCCAAACTCTGAATACATTCACAATGAACAGATTTAAAGGCATAATGTCATGGTTTTCTACATTAGAAAATCTATTAATATTATATTATTTATATCCTTATATATAATATTATATTATTATTCCGGTCAATATTATATTATTGATCAATATTTTTCCAAGGCATCGTTTAAATATTAAATTACTCCGTACAAACTTGCATTAATTTAGTACTGATAAATATTCAAATCGTTTTGTCAAGAAGAACATTTTTCATCTGTATATTTTATAGAACATTATAAAAGGTACTATATACAAAAATAATTGTGCGACTAGCCTAATTCTAGCTACGAACCGATAACACGCAAAAGGTCTACACAAATTGTATTTATATTTTGGAATGTGCAAGGACATATTTCACAACTTCATAACCGAAGCTACTCTAATGGAAAATTCACAGGAAATCAAATAAAACACAGGAGCAGTTCGTTCGACGATAAAACTAACGAATACAATGTAAATTGTTCGTGTGAAAAATACCCGGCGCGTGTTGGGAGGTGGAAATGGTGGTTAATTTGTGAATTCCTCCTCTGTAGATGGTCTTGTAGGTGGTATCGTCAGCGACAAATGTGCTACGTGCTACAGACGACCTTGTTGTACATGTAAATTACTAAACTGCAATCCGAAATAGCTACTGCAGATAATTGAAAACTGGGGATGGTGTCAGCGAAGAATTTAATAGGATAAAGGGAAATTTGAAATTTGGTTTATTATGTTAGATAACAATGTTTTTTTTACTAATACTTCTAACTTTTTTTTATTCTATAGTTGCTGTTGGAATTAGTTTATTTTATTTCAGCTTTTTTATTTAAATTAAGTAAAAATTCTCAATACGTTATTATTATATAATAATAATCAAAACTTTGGTTAGATTCGTTGTGGAAAACGTCAATATCCTTCTGATGGTTTCGCAACTTGATGCCGTAAATCTTATGTCTTTGTATTACCAATTTACGAAAGAAACAACATACACATTTACGAAAAATGAAATCTGAAGCTCAATGTGTGAATATCTTAAATGTTCAAATGTTCAAGTTTTTGTATAAAGATTTCAAGAATGTAATCAACTAAAATAATGTAAAACTTTTAATGGTGATTTACAAAACATGCTCTCTTTTATCACACCATCTAACTTATGTTATTTAGAAACAATTAGTTGGAAAACCAATGCAATCGGTTAGTTCATTCTGAACCACATTGACTCATTAAGTAATTATGTTGTTGAATTTGTTCTCAAACTACTTTGTGAAAACTATTGAGTTTTGAACAATACTGAAAGATTGGTCGTTGTTTTTAAGATGGCAGGCCTTGTCATTGGTGGTATTTATATTTACTATTAACATTGAAACAACAATTAATCAAGTTAAGACCTACTAGTACTCTTGTACTGGATTGATAATTTTACCATTGACTATAATTTTTGGCGCGCCTTTACCCAGACGAGTAGACTCCGTCTACGGTCGCTCCCCCTCTTGGCTACACTCCACACACATTTGCCATGATGTATAATGAATACATCTTGACTTGCGAAAGGGGAAAAGTCACAAAGGGGGAAGGTTGTAGTAGAGTAGAGGCATGAGGCTTCAAATTGGGCAAAACATCTTCCTCGTACGATATATTGATGCTAAAAATTTTAGCAAAGGAAATCGGCTATTTATTTAAGTGTGTATTGTAATAGTTAGAAATTGAAGAAAAAATTGGGCTTATGGGGAAAAGTATGAGACACGCTGAAAACTGAGATATGCCTTACATAGAAGACTGCATCAAAATGTACTCTCAGCTAATGTTTGTAATGTTTATCGTATTTGTGTAAATATATTTATATTTTTATGTAAGTAAATGTATACATGTATCGTATTGCGATAGTCAACGGTTGCTTTAGGAGCCTTTAAATTAAAAATGAAATATATAATGTACATTGTCTACAATTAGGACTATACGAAAATCTGGGGGAAACATGGAATACTGTGACAACATTTTCTTTTGGCGAATATTTTGAGTTATCATGTCGTTACACGGTTACCATAGCCTATAGCGGCTTAATAAGCTTCAACACTAAAAGTAAAAGATACAATTTGTCTACAATTATTAATAAGTATATTCCATCAATTAGTTTTTACTGGGTTTGATAAATCCTTGAATATTGAACTATACCAGTTTCTTTTTGAAACAAACCATACATTACATCTCTTAATACTTACATCGTGATTCAATGAACTGCAAATTTAAAATCACATTTACAAATATGTGACTTTTATTGGAGACAAATCTCACTGGGTCTAATTTATTAAACAATGTAACAAACAAAACACGTTATAGTGACAGAGTGGCTAGTGCTACTGTGACACTGACGGTTTGATTTGATTACAAGTTGAATGACACAGATTCTCACACGGGGTTCGCATATCTGTGAAAGGTCAACGCTAGCAATTAAATATTTACAATGGCCGCTCTGAAATCACATCACAGTCCCCTGATGAAACGCCAAGGCTTCTACCTTTTCAGCTGCGTTTTGATTTTCCACTGAGAAAATTCTAAATGAAAAGTGAAAAATTACTAAGGGGATTTTTAGGAAAATTATAAATTAATGACATCTGTGTACTCTTTGACTCGTATGAATTAATTTGGCATAAACGGGTACCAGATTTAAAACGTTTCAGAATGAATTTAATTTTCACTTACCTTATTTTTATCTGCTACTGTTTCGGTTTCCCCCTGAAACATATGAAATGTTAGTCATAGTGTATGTTAAATTATATCTATGAAATATAATCAGGCATTTGTGAAGAACATGATTAATAAATATTAAGTAGTAATAAGTCTATGAAAAGTAAATAAAGGTTTTAATTTTCTATTATGTTAGATTCATGTTTCCAGAGACTGTCTTACGTTGAAAAAACCGTATGGCTGTCGTAAAAACTATGTGCTCATTCTTACTTAAAAGAAATTTTACAAATACTTGTGAGTGAAAAGATTTTTCTAGGAAATTGCAATTGCTGCTACAATTACTATTTAGGTATTTGTAAAAAAAATTATTATATTTTTAGTTTTAATATGAATCTTATATGAAATCAGCAGGGTTGTGTAGCTTAGATTAAACTTAGGGATTGTTATATCATGTATGATGGAACAGAGATCTCGTCTCTGTATTAAATCAATGACTGACTCTTCTATAGACGAATACAAAACACTGGTTGGTCCCGGTGGTCGTATACTACAGTACATGGTATGATTTAGTACACCTTATCGTGGACGTATAAATTAAGTTAATGAACACGTCAAAAACAGGTCTCTGAAGTACATAGGCTAAATATATAGTGATTAAATATATGGAGCTTATATGAATCAGTATGTGAATTGCAGCATGTACGCTTAACAAGAAAAGATGTGTTTTTTACAGTACTTTATATGATTTGAATATGAATGTTGTACACTTAAGCCCCGTTTCCTAAACATATTCCCCCAACAATTTCGGGAGCTAAGCTCTTAGATACTTAAAAAGCGACTGAAGAAAAAATGTACAAAACAATTGGTTAGATTCTTAAATGTAATTTAATTTCTAAGAGTTCCAAGAGACAACAACCAAATTAATAATGCAAAGTAATAAGATGAAAATTCTTTCATAATACCTTCTTAGAATCGGGCACTCTATACATTACGTTTAGTGAAATGAAATTCCTTCACTAACGTCATAGAATTTGTTCTAGGAATTGTCTGACGGGAAACGCAAAGGTCCTAACAAGAAGTGTCATTTATTGTCCTTCTCAATCCATGTTGTCCAGTCTGTTAGAAACAATAAAGCCAGTCAATAGGTATTTGGGGTAACAGGACATAAATGTGGTTTTAAGGTAATGTAAAATATAAGTTATTGTAAAGTATTACTTAGTGAAGTCAGTGGAAGTACGTATGCACAGTTTTTGAATAAAATAGATAATTATATGTTATCTAACTAATGAATATTTATCGGTATCTATAAGCATATTAAATTAAAATAGAATTTTAATGATGGTGGATATCGTTCATATTTAGACCAGTTCATCTGCACTTGATCTAAATATTAGAACTACTGTAACCTATCGTTTTAATTAATATTTATTGGTACCTATAAGCATATTAAATTAAAATGGAATTTTAATGATAGTAGATATCGTTTATATGTAGACCAATTCATCGGCACATGATTTAAATATTAGAATTAGCCTATCGTTTTAAATTATTTTATGACACATTGCTTATTAAATTTTGGTCAAGGGAAAATATTTAGTGATATTAGTTTTGTTTGTTGATGGTGTTGTCAAAAACATTATGAATAAATAGCATCAGGCATTTTTGTATATGTTATTACTATCTAAAAAAAGGGGAAGCAACTGAGATTAATGAAAATACAGCTTTATATTAACACGAGTATTTTTAAACCGTATGCATACTTTTTTGTTACATATTTTAAATTGCAAAATGTTACGTTAAAAAATTTTTGGTTATTTATATTAGTTTTATAATTTAAGCTACTAATTTTGAAAACATAATTATATCCATATAGTATAACAAGTAGAAAATAAAACGTTAAAATATACTACCAATACGTAATATCCTTATAAAGTCCACGACCACAAATATTGCTTGAGAAAAAATGGGACGTGCAGATTAAATTTGCAAGACCAATAAAAGGAAAACGAATGTAGTGAAAACACATGGAATTAGCTTAGTGTAGAACCGTTGTCAGCCCGCACGAGCAGAGATGTATTTACAGCTAAGGAAGAATAATGTGAAGAGCCAAATCTTCCCCACCGGGTCTTGATGCGGTGCCGGGGGAGTCTCCCTCTAACAGATTAAAGTGGCTGAGTTTCATTTCGTCTGTTCATCCCCTAGACTTGAGTCTCCTCCCCTAACACATAAAACGGGCCGTATCACTGTCGCAGTGCAATCTATTGCCTGAGATACATAGTGGAAAAGTCTTGTTTTCAACGTGCAATGTGAGGGAATATGCAAGGAAAATATACTGCGTAAAAGCACTTCTTTAAAACCACAAAAAGGGGAAGGATGTTATTTCAGAGAAACCTTTTGAATAAATGAAATTTACATTTACTCGACATTTTACAGAACATGGTTACTCAGTGATAGCATAGCAGGTTAGGTTAGGTTAGGTTAGGTTAGGTTAGGTTAGGTTAGATTAGGTTAGAACATTTTATACAGGGTGAGTCTTCTAAGCTGTCCTAAACAGATTACAGACGAACGGCTTGACATACAGAGATGAAACAAAACTTTTCCCCACTAATTCATACCCAAGGAACAACGTAAAAATATTTTTACCATTTTTAAAATATTTTTCGTTTTCTAGTAATTAACCAAAAACCCCAATTGCCCATATAAAACCCATGTTAAACGTGCAGTACTGAAGATTAGTGAATGCAGATACACTATTCCTATGATACTGTGCGTTTAACATGGGTTTTATATGGGCAATTGGGGTTTTTGGTTAATTACTAGAAAGAGACCAAAGATAGACGGTAGGTTTAAATTCAAAAGTTGTTTGTTTTTACAAGACCCTAAAAATAATACACAATTTTACATATGTTGCCATTTAAAAATTTTCATTTACAAGGCTACCAACTAAAAAAAAAAATTAAAATCATAGAAAAAATATTAAGTTTTTAAAATGTTGACTTGTTGTATATCAAATTAAAGCTGAACCTACGAGGATTAAGAATTTTCAAACAGAACGAAAATAAGTTTAGTGGTTTTCAAGATACAGGGTATTCTGTAAGTATCAATATTTTCTATAAAAATGGCCGCCATTTTGAAACGGACAAAGATAAATGAGTTCTGTTTTCACTGAATTGTTTGTCTAGTCTAGAGCTTTAAAATGATGCATAACATGACATATGTTTACATTTGAAAACTCTGAGATTCGAACCCATGACCCCCAGTTTCTTGAACACCCTGTATTTTAAAAATGGTAAAAATATTTTTACGTTGTTCCTTGGGTATGAATTAGTGGGGAAAAGTTTTGTTTCATCTCTGTATGTCAAGCCGTTCGTCTGTAATCTGTTTAGGACAGCTTAGAAGATTCACCCTGTATAACATAGTTACTCAGTGATAACAAAGCGTGTGAGTAGAAGAGTCAGGCATCGCTAGTTCGAGACTAGCCACAGCACTGCAGCTACTATGGGACTTATTTTCTAAGGTTTATTTTTTATAATAACCACTTAGCCCAGATGAACAGTCTATAGTGACAGACACTCAAAGTCTAAGGAAACAACTTGGTATTGATGGTAGTACAATATGTCTACAATAATTTGCTGGGACACATCCGAAATTTAAGGGAAACAGCTACCTATTTGTATTTAGGTTCATGAGCTAAGTTCTGTAAAAAAATAAACACACCGTTATTGAGGATTGTTTTGGCACATTGACTGTAATATGAGTGAAGACACAAAAACGTATATAGTGCATTAGTGCATTCCAGTTCAGTATATTATAATTGCATTACAATATATACATTGAAAACAAATACATCCACTTCCATTTTGAGCTCTAGTCTAGGTTTAGTGACCGCTGCTTTACTCTTGTGGTTGTAACTTGTAAAACTTCCGATATGACGCGGGTGGTGGGGGAAACTGTGCAGTAGCGATGCGCAGACGACAGTCGCTGTGGAGGGGGGAGCTATATAGCACCAGGCCTTACAATCTCATCTTCAACTACACAGTCATATTCGCATTTCTATATCTAAACATCCTATGTCCGTTATTTTGTACTTCGTGTTTTTATAATTTTATATTCCATCCTTTTATTTTTTTTAATTCTTTATTACCCATCCATGCTAATTTTTTTCTCGACTCAATTTAATTTCTATTCTGTTTCCTAAATTAAAAACTATTTATTCAATTCCCCCATGGCAACATACCGTATTGATTTCGAGGGAAACGATTTATTTTCAAAAGCCTCAAGAACGCAAGTTTTTAGCAAATTTAGTGTTCTATAGGACAATTTTACTCAGTTTCTGCAACACAAGTTAGATATACATGTTTCAAGTAGCGAACTGACAAGCTGTTTAGCAGCGCTAGTTAGCTGCCTTGCCTCAACATGAGAAGTGCACACGCTATAACATCCTTAGCTTGTGACAGCCTCTACATTATACGACATGATATTCTACCCAGTCAGTTCTTTGTATGGATTTGTTAAAGTAAAAATGACGTACTAGATACTGGTATGGATGTTTTAGTTTGGATGTTTTGGTATGGTATTAAGTCCAAATTCAAAAGAGTGCAAATTTAACGAAGAAGCATCGGTAGATTGTCAAACATTATGATGAAGAACATGACACTCCAAATGAATGTTTAAAATAAAATAAAGCGTAGGACTCGTAAATAATAAATGTTGAACGAATATACTATCAAAATTTGTTTTTTTCTGTAACATTAAAAAATTTCCAATTTAGCTAAAACATCTACCGATTGTGTCAATTTATTTCTTTTGAAATCCTGATGACTCAACTACTTAAAGTTTTGTCGACGGCGTTTTAGTCTCTATATTCCGGGATAGGACCAGGGAAAACTCTACCAAATTAAAGTTAATAGTTTATAAAACCACTAAACTATGACCACATACACTTGTGTATTAAACATTCAACACAGTGTTCATCGAACTTCCAAAACTTCGCGAAAATATCACAACACGATCTTATATGACGGTCCCAGGTTATAATCCGACTGCGA